TAGGCATGTGATAATTAACAGTCATAACAATAAAATAAATACTGCTTTCATCTTTTAATGAACGTTTCTGCTGCAGCAACAGAAGGTTCCTCTGAAATCAAGTCCTGATCTCAGCAGCTGATCTGCTGTTTAGTGACTGAGCAGTTTACATGCCAGTACTGCAACACACTGGGACAAACTGACACCATATACAAAGAAAGGAATAACGTCATGCATTACATTTGCTGAATTTACGTGTCACAACGTTTATATATTTTCCCCTAACTCAACAACTCACAAAACTCTGATTTTTTTAAGGGAGTTTTGGGAGGATTAGCCGCCGCATTATTATCTTGCGCACTCGGCAGCAACAAGTTCTCCAGCTAGGAACGTCGCCATGAGCGATGCATTGTTTATGACTGTAAAGTCAGGGCACATCTGGAATGTGAACACGGCCGTTGTGTATCATAAATGTGCTACTCTCAGCGCCATTAAAAGTCAATCAAATTGCCCAAAGCAAACTGTATAGAAAACGTTACAGCTCACAGCGGGAAGTAACACAGCTTTAATGGGAAGCTAGCTCGCTAACTAGCTTACTGAGACGAGTCTTCATCATCCACAGAGCAACTACGTTACACACCTCCTCTTCAGATGCCCCGGTGTTTCCAGGAAAGCTCAGCTTTGCAGATGCTGCAGTTAACAACCTTTTTGGCTGAGTGAAGAGTGAAGTGCTGCCACACTCTGGAGGTTTTAGGTGGTGAAGGTGTTACTTCAGCGCTGATGTTGTTTTAGTAACTTTACTGTTCACATCACTTTGGTCCGTTAAGCCGACGGTGTCGTTACAGCCCGATGACGTCATGAACAAATCGATTATTAAATTCGTTGCCAACAAATTTAATAATTGATTTAGTTGTTGCACCCCTAAATGTACACTGAGCCGGTGTCAGTGTGCCAATATTTGCTGCTTCTAGCCACCTCCGCCGTACAGCAACATGCTCCCCTTGTTCTGTTTTACTAGTTACAATATTGTTATCAATCATTGTCGAGCCGTTTTCAGGCAGTTCAGAGCAGTGTTTTCTGTTGGAGATGGGAGCTCCCATCTGGAGCTGGACTTTGGGCTTTTTCACTTTGCAAACCTAGTACATGCACAAAAAAGATATATAACTCAATAAAGGAGAGGGAAAAAACCAAAAACCATAATACCACCTCTTTAAGCAAGTACACTCAAGTAGAACCATTTGTTCCATTATAATTGAATCGCAATGTTGTCCACAATAATCGCAATATGACTTTTCTCCAAATCATGCAACCCTAAGGGTTGCATAGTTTGTCCACCAGAGGGTGCGCTGCAGCTCCTCTATTAACACTGCAGTCTACCGGCGCTACAATGAGTAGCTCCTGGTAACTCAGTGTTCCCGGTGAGTTGGTCTTTTTTCACGTCAATTACATGACTTAAATAATAACAACAACAGCCCTCATCACTTTTCCTCTTCGGAGATCAGACCCTCCTGTTTTTCACTGCCCTCTCCAGGCTCAGCAGTGTGTTTAATGTTACGGTAACCTAGTGTTGGAGGCTACGCTGCTAACACAGACATTTCTGAAACAGTTTGGCAGTTCTAGCAACCGGTCCTCTCGTTTCTCTCTAATTTATTACTTCTAAATATTTTATGATTTACCTACTTCTAAGCTGCTTATATCGTTAATACAAATATTAATGGTTAAACATATGATCAATGTGTCATGTGAAGTCCACCCCTCTATGTCTGCTAACTTGTCTCATCCTGCACGCTGTTGTTGTTTTCGTTTCAAAATAAAAGTGCATAAGCTGTCTGTCGTAACTAGATCAAATGAATGACGTGTATTTGACACCTGTCAACACCCAAACAACCAGCATCCAACATCACCACCATGGGCAAGACCAAAGAGCTTTCTACGGACATCAGGGACAAGATTGTTGATCTGCACAAGACTGGGATGGGCTACAAGAGAATCGGAAAGCAACTTGGAGAGAAAAGATCAACTGTCGGTGCAGTTATCAGGAAATGGAAGAAGCACCACACCACCGCCAACCTCCCTCGGTCTGGGCCTCCACACAAGATCTCGCCTCATGGGGTGTCCCTGATCGTGCGAACGGTGAGGAATCATCCCAAAACCACAAGGGGGGAACTGATGAATCAACTGAAGGCAGCTGGGACCACAGTTACAAAAGAAACGGTTGGTAACACACTACGCCGTCATGGATTGAAATCCTGCAGCGCACGCAAGGTCCCCCTGCTCAAGAAGAAACATGTACAGGCCCGCATGAAGTTCGCCATTCACCACCTGGACGACTCAGAAGAGGCCTGGAAGAAGGTGATGTGGTCAGATGAGACCAAAATAGAACTTTTTGGCCTCAACTCAACTCGTCGTGTTTGGAGGGCAAAGAACACCGAGTACAACCCAAAGAACACCATCCCCACCGTCAAGCATGGTGGTGGCAACATCATGCTTTGGGGGTGCTTTTCAGCCAAGGGGACGGGACAACTCCATCGTATTGAGGGGAGGATGGACGGGGCCATGTATCGTGGAATTCTGGACCAACATCTCCTTCCCTCAGTGAGAGAGCTGAAGATGGGTCGAGGATGGGTGTTTCAGCACGACAATGACCCTAAGCACACCGCCAAAGCAACAAAAGAGTGGCTGAAGAAGAAGCACATCAAGGTTCTGGAGTGGCCTAGCCAGTCTCCAGACCTGAATCCAATTGAAAATCTTTGGAGGGAGCTTAAAATTCGAGTTGCCAGGCGACAACCTCGGAACCTGAATGATTTGGAGGCTGTCTGCAGGGAGGAGTGGGCCAACATCCCTGCCGAAATGTGCACAAACCTTGTCACCATCTATAAAAACCGTTTGACATCTGTGCTGGCCAATAATGGCTTTTCTACAAAATATTAACATGCTGTTTGTCCAGGGGGTCAAATACTTGTTTTTCCTCATCAGATGGTTATCAATTTAATAAATTCATATGATGTGATTTTCTGGAATTTTCTTTGGGATTCTGTCTTTCACTGTTAGAATGTACATATGATTAAAATTATAGATCGTTGCATTCTTTGTAAGTGGGCAAACCTGCAAAATCAGCAAGGGGTCAAATACTTATTTCCCCCACTGTATGGAATTGGTAGTAGTACTATATTGGTGTTTTTTATAGTTTCTGTTTCGCTGGCCCCCACAATACACACACTATTTAATTTAATGTTCATTAGTAGAAGTACTCTATAATTTATAATTTCTGTAGTTTTATACATTTGACTCTTATTTATCAAAACTTTAATATATTTTGTTAGGGCTAACCCTTTTGTTCAAAGTACTATTTCGAACAATAACAAAGTTTATTTTTAAACTCCATTGTGTCGTGGTATCTTGGTGAGGTCTCAACATAACAAATGTTAGGGATAATCTTTGTTTATGTTATTTGTTTCTTAAAATAAGGGGGAAAAACAATATCAGCCAATATATCGGCTATCGGATTTTAAAATCCTCAAATTTCAAAATCGGTCTCGGACTTAAAAATCCCATATCGGTCAGGCTCTATTGCTAAATGAATGAAAACATGACACCACCACACCTAGGCAAGACATTACACTGCCACGGTGGACCAGCATGTGGATTACACACTTTGGCGTGATACCGGGTTGCAGCAGCAGACCGACGGCAAGTGACAGTTTAGCGGAGTATCTGGTGTCCTGTACGGTAAACAGTACCACCAAACTAGGAGTTTTTGAGACACTGTTTAGACATGCGTAAAAACACATATGGTAGTGTGTGTGTGTATCAAACTCCAACACAGACAGCAGAGGACAGAAGCAGGGCGTCCGTAAATGACATCAAAACACGGTACAGACTCTCAGCATAGTTTTTTTTCCCCCACGTCTATTTTGGTACAAACATCTACCTGGCAATGTGGCGGGCAGCTTTCTAAGATTAGCTCGCCAAAAGGAAAATCTATCCACATTTGGCACGTGTTCATTTCGGACCCAGATCCAATAATCTTAAATAAAACATTCGTAAGAAAATAAAATTTTTACTTCAAGATTTACTTACAAATAATACATACAAATTAGTATAACCGGGATTTTGAAAAAAAAAAAAAAAAAACAGTATGATCTTGGGGTGTGTGATACTGACAAAATGATCTATTTCATGACGTAGATTGCGAGGCTGCTGGTGTCATTGTTTTATCTCCCGGCACTGTTTATTCACTCATTTTTTACTTTAGTCATGAATTCAGCTTGTTTACCTCTAGCACACGTACAGCATGCCTGACACAGTAAATGCACAGAAAACAAAGTGACGTCGCCTCCTCGATAATGTCTGCTCACACATGGTTAAAAACTATTAATAAGATATTATCATTGACGATACATATCGCACACCCCTAGCATGATTCCTTTCACAGTTATCTATCAAACATTCTAGTAGGGCTGTAGATAACGTTATTTTTCAAGTCGGTTATTTTCAATTAGTCGATTAATGTAACGACTACGGGGCAGAAATTACTTTTAACATGAAGGCAATGAAGAAATACGTAGAAAATACATTTTAACAGACTACGTATCCTTGTGCTGATAATGTGCCATGCTTGTCTGGAGACAGAAAGTAAACACGCACTGCCGTCAGTGCTGGGATACTTTCGCATCACGTGTTCATGCTGGACAGCAGTTGTACTGCAGTGAAGCTCACAGAGCGAGCACCGCGTTATTGAGTATCTGTAAATAAATACTCCCAAACTTTAGACTGTCGAAGGCACGGTCATGTAGCTGAAGCTTATCCGGGGAATCCCACTAACACCGGATACAGCGACGCTTCGATGCACATAATGCAAGTAGACATATTTACGTAAACGATTAGGTCGACGAATCGCCCCAGCCCTAGATTCTAGTCCTACTTGCAACACAGCAACTTACATTTTAAATTAAGGTAATGATCTGAACTGAAAAACAGTCTAGATCAAAAGTGTGCGTGTGGGGCAGGGGAAAGCTTACCTTATGCAGACAGGTGTCCACCACTGAGTTACAGACCTTCTCCAGGTCATCACACACGAGGAGTCGTGAGCGGACAAACTCACACAGCTCCTCGTTGGACATGACATCCCAGATTCCATCACATGCCAGCACCACAAACTCGTCTCCTTCAGGTGCCCGCTCCAACACACACACCTCAGGCTCAGGGCTCACCAGCTGCTCCGTGGGGCCCTTACCATCCACACATTTGTAGTCGTAGTCCCCCAGGGCCCGTGACACAGCCAGGGAGCCATTTACCCTCTGGATCATGACTGAGCCGCCAGCATTCTGGATGCGCTCCTTTTCACGGGGGTTGCAGGGCTTGTGGTCCTGGGTGGAGAAACCCACCTTGGTGTCTCGACTCAGCACGGCCCGCGAGTCGCCGCAGTTAATGAAGTAGAGGTGGGTCGGGCTTAGCAAAACGCACACGGCTGTTGATCCACTGCGGTCCAGGCCCTGCCGCAGGTCAGAGAAGCTGCGCATGTACTCGTCAATGTTCAGGAAGCCCGAGCGGATGCCGTCCTTCACACCCTCCACGGCGCCGGCTCCTGAACCGAAGTCGGTCCCTCCTGACAAGATGTGTTCCAGCAAGTGGCCAGAGCAGTAGTTGGCCACCCGGGAGCCTGCATGGCCATCGTAGACAGCAAAGAAGGACCAGTCGGCGAGTCCATGGGGGAGGCCCACCACAGCTGTGTGGGCGTCCTCCATCTCAACCCGCCAGCCCTGCATGGAGCTCAAGCCATAGCGCAGTCCATTACCATCACCGTGGGCACTATGCTTCTCCGTCTTCGGCTTGTCCAGGAATGCACCCATTGCTGCCTACAGCTGGAGGATCAATCATAGACAGAGAAGAAAGAAACACAGAAATGGAACCGTTAAACCAAGAACAAAGAAGATTTATCCCCACCCAAGTCATCCACTTTTATCCTAATGGCACAACTGTATCGTAAATATAATGTATACTAAGTTAGAATTCAAGCGAACTTAATAAATCGGCCAGCATTAGCCTGTTGCAGATGGCCGTATATGTTGGCTCCTACGTAACAAGAAATTGCAGTACAGAACAAGAATCACCATAACATATAGCACCTAAGAGCACTGACAAGTTTTCAATCTTAAAAAGTCCATCTTAATCTTGGTGACAAATCTTTAACAATGCAAGGATCTGAATCACCACCATAGGTGGGGTTATATTTAAAATATAGGTAATCTCATTCAGATTTATGTTTAGTTATTGTGGTTAATTATTGTGATATAGGAATTATGAACAGAGAAAGAAGGACGCTTTACCACAGTATCCAAAGAAGGTTTAAATCAAGGGCACAGTACGGTTGTTAACTCTATTTACTATGTTTGGATTTACATACGTTTAAATAATAAACAAAATCCAGAAAACTGATTGGCTACATTCACATTTATTTATTAGCTTTTGTTGCCCATCATAGCTCACACGCTGGTCCTTATTCAATTCAATGTGTAAACCATTACAAATGAGTGGATCAAAACTGACTCCTTTTGTCACATCTACAAAAAGATCATATAATGTTCTATAGTCTAGAATAATATCCTATAAATCTGTTTGTAAATCACTAGTTTTTGTGTTAGTAGTTCAGTAGGCTGCTTCACACTGTGATTACAGAGTGCTTTTAATTACTCAATGGATGGTGAGAGCCAGAGATCCTGACAAGACGACAAAGATAGCAGCGGAGGAACCACAGCAGTGACGATTACACTGCAGCTGTAAAGCTTCTTTGAGCACACAGAGCCTCTTTCACTCTGAACACAAGGTAACTAATACTATTAGTTGACTAATACTATTACTTAACTTGTTGGCAGAACATAGTGTGTGACACTACTGAATCAGCACGGTCTGAAATTCTCACCCGCCAAAAGACGAATGGCAATTTAAGTTTTTTGTAATGGCCCAGTTCCAGCACAAAAGCCGGGCTGTGACAGCCTCTACTTAAACTTTCTGACTACCACACACTCTCTCTGACCATGAACCAACCACAAGTAAAGGCTGCATATGGATGAGATGAAGCCAGGCAGGCAGGATGTATCTTTGGTCTGCAAGTGAGCGACTTACAATTGCTATACATGTCAGAGGTCGCATGCCTCTAGAGCAACTAGGGGTTAAGTGTCTTGCTCAGGGATCACAGTGGGGAATTGAACCCGGGTCTCTCACACCAAAGGCATGTGTCTTATCCATTGCGCCATCACCACCCCAAGTGCTTGGCAAGTGCTGCACACAAATAAATAATAGTACACAATATTGCTTACTAACAAATCCCAGCATTCTCTTGAGCTTTCTAAAATCATAGTGTTCCTTAACCCAGATGCAGTGCAACGGTACAAAAATGCTGTTATTTAAGCAATTATTTAGGTGGTGTTTGATGCAGATACAGCTGGGCTCCCATTCATTGTTTTGCGTTGGCGTTGGGGGGTGTTCACAATGCTGCTGCAACAAAACCGAGCAACCACAACAAAATGTTAAAAAACAAATTCCAAGACAACAAGATGTACCAGGACATTTCACTTCTCATTTTTCATGTGTTTTCCATGACCACTGGTCAACGGTTTTCCAGGACGAGTGTGTAGAAATATAGCATTCACATAACAAAGTAATCTAAGAGGAATGTGCACTTGCACCCATTTCACTTGCCAAATGATGTTCTGGTCCGACAAAACTTGAGCCAGGTTCAACTTTTTTTGCTGGACCACCCTGAATAGTTTGCCGGAGCTCTCGTTGTGTCAATAGGCTGGTCTTATTCTAATGAATGTTAGGGCTATTGCTGGCCTGAACTCTTCCTAGGTCCGTTATGGGCAATAGAAGTTTGTGGTAGCATGCTACAAGCTAACAGAGCTAATGGTTGGGGCAAGTGAAATGAAAATGTAATGAATTGCCCCTGTACAGAAGAATGTATTAACATTTTGGAGTATCAAATGCAACTTGAAATTGCTAACATCAACATGAGGCAGAGGCTTATGCAGGACCTAGAAAGTGTAAATGTTTGTTCAATGTATAGAGTATGTGTCAAATCGGTGATCATCATTGGCCCTGAAAAGACTTATTGGAGCTGTAGTTCAAAACAGGAAATAAGAACTCAGAATATTCTACCTGATTCTATGAAATGAAAAGACAATTGCCATACTATACTGCCAGCGCTGCAAAACGTCACCATGATGTCACATCATTGTGACATGCGTGAGCAAGGTGGAGGCAAGCGCTGAGCCAGGTGTTTTGTATGCTGCCGAGAATTACATGCACTTCCAAATACTGCCTTTCAACGCTATAATATTCTTTGTGGGGTTCATAAATGGTGATAAATGATTTGAAGTATATATTTCATAACGTTTAGAGTTGTTAATATTTAATTACAGTTGGTAGAAGCAGCATTCCTTGAGAATTAGCAAAAATATGTGGTGATAACTGCTGTGGTCATTGATCAAATGCGAAGTGTCTGAAATGGCCCTAAACAGGTGGATGCACAATTCGGCAGGACAGATGCTGTAGGCTACCTGCCAAGATTTGCATCCACCTTTTTTCTCAGCATAAAAGATAGGTTACCACATATGAGGTGCAAGTAATTCTCGGCAGGCATGCAGAATTTGGCACACCACCAACGTAAGTTGTTTTTCTCTGGCTGCACAAAGTTGGAACCACCTTTGGCCTGATCATTGTTCTAAGCTCACAGTAAGATCACGCAGTCTACCAGAGGTAGATTATGCCTAACTTGACGGCGCTGTTTTTATGCCCCGCCCCTGCAGTCGCCTGTAGCTCACATTAGACAATCATGTCAGCGAAAGTCAGCCACAGTCCTCATGAACGCACCTATTGACTACCAGTTATGTAGAGCTTGCTAACTTCGACAGCTGTATTCTAACGTTAACATAGCTCTCCTTATTAGCTGGGCTCCTTACATGCTTGCCAATAACTTTTTTGAAGGTTGGTCTCCGACACTGACAGCGGAGGGAGCAACCGAGTGAGAAGAGATGCGGAGCAAATATGGCTGTGCAACGCCGTAATAAAAACGATTTTAAAATGGGCTGCCAAATTTACTTGGGTGGCTGTTAATATCTGTGGGCGACTCGCCCAAGTAAAGTCTGTGTGTGGGTAACACTGGATGTACCTGAAGACACTAGAAGCACCTCCTGGTCCTTCCCTAGAGCCTGACAAATTCAGAAATAAATACAGAAATAAAGAAATGCTCAAGAAATAAATAAGCATCCGTATATCTATTTTAATTAGCTTCTTTACTTATTCACCTTCGTAATAATTACCTTATTTATTTATTGTCCGTTATAATCTTCAACTTTATTTATTAATTACTTATTTTTTAGATGTATTTATTTATGTGTTTTAATATTTGTCTGTTTTATTCTTCCCTTGCATTTTCTACCCTATATATTTCCCCAATGGTATTACTTTACATTTCTCTATGCAAATGAGGAGGGGCTGTGTCTCAAGGGGTCAAGTTCTCTCCTATTGGTAGACCTGTCAGACGGGAGAGCTCTAGGCCTACTCTACCTGCACACGGCAACAAGCTTTCTCCCCACACAGTCAGATGGCTTCCTTCAGTGCGCTGAGGTGTTTAGCAACTCTATTTGAAGACAATAGTACCAGCAATGTCTTCCTTCCCTTTTTGTGGACAGGACACAACATTTAATGGTCCTGATAATATATGTGCATATTCATACGTATCCAGGACTGTTTTGGGTTGGACAGGAGAACCCTCAGGAGAATCTTAAGTATATAGACAATAAATGGGTAAAAATATTGAGAATCACAAGAAACTGTTAAGCAGGAATTCAACATTAAGTCCCTTTGGAGCTAATGTTTGCCACATTGGTAGGGTGACCTATTCATTGCCACAGAACCGCAGTGAAGCAATATCATGGTGAGCATCATTGAAGTGTACAGCTATGGGATAAACCCGATCATTTCTGTGTATGGTACTTTTGTGCTCACTGATCCTTTGAGTTTTCAAGTGGTTTTCCCAACACAAGCAAGACCACGGGGACAGCGTATCATGTAGATCACGTGTGTGGATGCGCAAATGATGACACTGTGTGACACTGGTCACAGCCTTAAAATGCTCAACTGCCTTACACCATCTCTCTGGCATTTCTGACCTGCCATACAAATCAATTCTGACCTATATGTCAGCAACTCCTGCAGTAATGGAGCTACTCACAGTATGTATTGCTTAGTTAGAATAGCACTCATGAGATTTTGAAATCAATAACAAGCGCTACAAAAAAAGAAAGCTGCCTTGAGTACGTCTTTTTTTCCCCTCAACATATTGATTTCTCACTCACTGCATTGCCTCCCATATGAGCACACTCGCAGCATGACAGGCATGTGCCCAAAAAAGGCTGGTACATGTAAGGAGTGACTACAGCTGGTTTCAGAGGAACGTGTGTGTGTGTGTGTGTGTGTGTGTGTGTGTGTGTGTGTGTGTGTGTGTGTGTGTGTGTGTGTGTGGTGTGTGTGTGTGTGTGTGTGTGTGTGTGTGTGTGTGTGTGTGTTAGTCCATGTGCGAGAAAAAGACGTTCTATAAATACGCCAGGCCAGTTTAAATTGCATGTTCAGGGTGGGGCAGTGGGCCATTCATACTTCTACTGCTTTTCTGCACACGATTGTATCAACAAAAAATCCCTCTATCAAGATCTCACCATCAGCTACTGCCACTTTGAAGTCGCCTATATGTTCATGTATGGTAAGAAAGCGTGTTCACATATGTGTGCAAGAGAAAAGAGAGACCTGTTGTGTTCACCAGCAGTGATTCTCTCTAAAAATAAAACAAACACACTGCCGCTGCCTA